TGGAACCTTACTGGTATCTATGGACACCTCGAGACGAGTAAACGTATGGAAACCTGGAATCTGTTAAGGAGACTGAAAAGGGATTCTATAGAAGCATGGATGGTCTTTGGTGATTTTAATGAAGTTTTCTCTCACAAGGAAAAATGGGGAGGTCGTGATAGACCTATACAGCAGCTAGAAAATTTTCAACAGATGTTCTTGGACTGTGAGCTAAGGGACCTCGGCTTTAAAGGCCCCCAATACACATGGCACAATGGCAGACTTGATTCTGCAAAAATCTTTGAAAGACTAGACCGTTTCACAGCAAATGAATCTTGGTGTCGAATTTTTGCACAAGCTTCGGTGACTCATGGTTCAACAGCATATTCTGATCATCTACCCCTATGGATCCAGCTGGAGGGTGCTATTCAAGGACCTAGAAAACCCAGGCCATTCAGATTTGAATCAATGTGGATGGGTGAAAAGGCGTGCATTGATATTGTGGTGGAACAATTGCCAGATACCAGCTCTCAGAACCTGGACAGCATTATGAGAAATATTTCCTGTTGCAGTACACAGCTTCAAGTCTGGAATCGAACTAAATTCGGCAATGTGCAAATGTAGCTCAAAAAGGCCAGAGTAAAGCTCGCCCAAATCCAGGAAAATAACCCTGCAGCCATTAATCCTGATGATCTTCAAAAATCTACTAAAGAGGTACAAACCTGGATGGATAGGGAAGAAATTATGTGGAAACAACGGTCCGGAGCTGCGTGGCTTGAGGAAGGAGACCAGAATACACGTTATTTCCATGCGAAGGCTTCCCAACGATATAAACAAAACCAGATCACCAAACTTCTTGATGGCCAAGATTGTTGGCAGGAAGGGGAGGCTTGCAACCGCCTCATCCTCACCCACTTCTCTGATCTGTTCTCCTTTGCAGGCTCTAAAAACCAAGACACTATCCTGGATAAAATGGAATGCAAATTAACTCCAGCTATGAACGATGACCTGATGAAGATTTTTACGGCATCTGAGATCTCCCAGGCCCTAAAGGAGATGCACCCAACGAAAGCCCCAGGCCCAGATGGTATGCCTCCTATTTTTTTTCAAAAATTTTGGCCTCACATTGGCTCTTCTGTCACTCATGCTGTACTTAATGCTTTAAATACTTGCGAATTCCCCCATGATGTCAATCACACTTTTATTACACTCGTTCCAAAGACTAAGATTCCGCAGAGGGTGAAGGATTTCAGGCCTATTAGCCTTTGCAATGTGCTCTATAAATTGATCTCAAAGGTAGTGGCTAATCAGATCAAATCAGTCCTACCTGTGGTAATTTCAGAAACACAGTCAGCATTTGTTAAGGGACGACTCATCACTGATAATGTGCTTATTGCCTACGAAGTGCTCCATTTCTTGGGAAGGAAGAGGAAAGGCAAAAAAGGCTTCATGTCTCTTAAGCTCGACATGAGCAAAGCTTACGATAGAGTCGAGTGGTCTTTCCTTGAAGCGGTTATGCACAAACTGGGTTTCCATGAAAAGTTTGTGCAACTGGTGATGAAATGTGTTACTACTCCCTCGTTCTCGATTCTTATCAATGGCTCTCCCACTGGTCGCATAATCCCTTCAAGGGGCTTGAGGCAAGGAGATCCTATTTCTTCCTATTTATTCATCCTGTGTACTGAGAGATTGATATGCTTACTCAATGAAACGGAAAGGAATCGACAAGTTATTGGTATTCAGGTGAGTCGAGGTGCCCCACGTTTGAATCATCTCCTCTTTGCGGATGATAGCCTGATATTCTGTAAAGCAAATGAAGAAACCACCTCCCAGCTACAATCACTCCTGAATATTTATGAAGATGCCTCAGGCCAACAGTTAAACAAGGATAAAACCGCCATGGTGTTCAGTAATAATATACGGCCAAAGCAACAGCAGGCACTCATGGATATGTGGAACGCTCCTCAAGTGCAGCAATATGAAAAATATCTTGGCTTACCACCTATGATTGGTAGGTCCAAGAGTCGAGCTTTCTCTGAAATTAAGCGCTGAGTTTAGCAGAAGTTGCAAGGTTGGAAGAGTGGTATGTTCTCACAAGGTGGTCGAGAAGTCCTCCTAAAATCAGTAGCTCTTGCGATCCCCTCCTATGCTATGAGTTGGTTTAAACTCCCCCCCACATTCTGTACTGACATTGAAAAGATGATGGCTAGATTTTGGTGGGGCCAAAAGAAGGAGGAGAGGAAGATTCATTGGACATCTTGGAAAAGTATGTGCAGCTCCAAGTCTATGGGGGGCATGGGTTTTAAGGAGCTCGAGTTCTTCAATATGGCCTTGCTTGGTAAACAAGCTTGGAGACTCCTGCAACAAAAAGATAGCTTAGTTCACAAAATTTATTCGGCTCGTTATTTTTCTGATGGCAATTTCTTAAAAGCCTCTATTGGAGGGAACCCCTCTTATGCTTGGCGTGGGATTTGGGAGGCCAAAAATCTTTTAATAAAAGGGGGAAGATGGGTTGTAGGAGATGGCAATACTATACATATTCTGGTTGATAAATGGATACCTAAAATGAGAGAACTAGGCAAAGAGCTGGGGACAGATATCCAATAAACTCATGGCCAGCAGCTGGATGGCCTAGTGTCCTCCCTGATTGATCCCTCCTTACGGTGGTGGGACTTGACAAAACTTAGGACTCTCTTCAATCCAAAAATCATCGAGACTATTCTAAAATTACCCCCAAGTCACTTAGGAGAACAGGATTTCTGGATGTGGGAACATGAAAAATCTGGACTCTATTCGGTCAGCAGTGCATATAGGTTTTTTCGAACTTGCCTCACCCCTGATCGTGGTAACGCCTCTGATGCTGGTGAAAAAAAGAAGTTTTGGGACACTTTGTGGTGTCTTAAGCTTCACCAAAAAGTAAATAATTTTGCTTGGAGAGCTTGTCAAGAGGGTCTACCTTCACAACAGAATTTAATACGACGAAGGATTCCTACTACTTCCCAGTGCTGTTTTTGTGATACCCAGGTGGAAGACCTTTGCCATGCTCTACTGTACTGCCCTCCTATCAAACAAGCCCTTGCCAGCCGGTTTTCAGTGTTTCAGAACAAGGATTATCAAGGGGGCTTCATGCAGG